CAGAGTGGCCCCGAGCGGGGGAGGTCCCCCAGAAACAGCTGGGAGTGTTTCTCAAAGTGTGGCCTCCGCACCCCTCGCCGGGTGTCCCCCATCTTCTGCCGTCACACGAGAGGCGCCCCATCGGTGCAGCTGGCAGGCTGAGCCTGGCCCCCAATCACAGCGTCCCCAGAGGCCTCTCAGGGCGGAAACAGAACCACGGCCGTGGACCCGCCCGCAGGGCCGAGAGCAGACGCCCGAAGGGACACGTTCACCCTGAACGCGGCTTTTCTTCCCACCGACCCTGTGCGTGCACGGCGCCCCTCCGCTCCAGCTGTCCCACCGGGGCCCCCAGGGAGGGCGATGGTTGGGCCCAATCTAGACGAGCAGTGACGTTCCTGAGTGTCTGCGCCAGGGTCTGTCCCGCTGCTCCCGCCCGTCACCTCCTTTCGCCGAGCCAGAAAGGGGGCGCAGACGGAGCCAGGTGGCCGAGAGGGAGAGGGCCAGGGGCCACGCCGGTGACAGAGGGCCCTGTGAGCCGGGACGGGGCGTGCTTCCTGGGAGAACGGACCGGGGCAGGACCCACTGGCTGCTTCGTCTTGGAAGCTGGTGCGGGGCTCTGAGGGGAGGGGGCCTGGCTCCCTGCCACCCCGAGTCGGTGACGGACCTCACCCAGCAGCAGCCAGGGCTCCCGATCTTGGGGGCAGGGGGAGAGGGGGGCGGCGCCTGCAGCTTGGACATGAGGCCGAGCGAGGGCCTACGCCCCGCCTTTCCCTCTCCCCACTCCTGTTCACCAGCCCCACACGGCAGGGCGTGCAGAGCAGGAGCAGAGGGTAGAGGGCAGAGGGCTGCCTGCCGGGGGGAAGCTCATGGAGCAGGTGCCAGGGCCCGGGAGGGAGGGTGGGGAGCGGCTGGTGTTTGGATGGGTTACGGTCCGAACCAGAGGCCCCACGGGGCTGAGGGACCCGGGCTGCGGGAGGCACAGCCAGGAAACAAAGCCTGAAAAGGGGCCTGTAACCGAGTGGATTCGGAACCCACGAGAAGGCTGTAAGCCGCCCTTCCCCTGCCTCGGGGGTCTGGCTGTAAAATAGACTTGGCTGGCAGGCCTGGGCTGTCTCTCCATCAGAGAGAGCAGCGTCCCAGCCAGACCCAGCTTCTACTCTTGTCTGTCTGCCTGCATCCCTCCCGCCCCCCCTCCAGGCTCACCGCACCTGGAGGCGCTGGGGCTGGCTCTGATGTCTCTGGGGCTAACAGTGTGGCCATTGGGCAGAGCAGGGTGTGGCCTCCAGAGGTTCCATCCCCCAGGGCGATGAGTTTGGAAGTGGGGTGTGCAGTGCAGGGCACCCTCAGGCTGGGGTGTGGGCCGGAGCATCCCATGGCGTGCAGCGAGGGGAGGCAGCCCTGTGCCCCATCGGATGTGGCAAAGAGCTGAGAAGATGCAGCGTGTGCATGCCCGCCTGGCGGGAAGCTGGTACCTCCGAGGCCAGGCCTCGTGGAGAGCGGGGCGGGGGGGGGGGGGCTGCCCTCACAGTGACTGACATGGTGACACCCCCTCCCCCACCCGGCACAGCTGTGCTTCCTCAGGGAGCCCCTGCTTCTCCCCTGAACTGGCTGAGCCCAGGACCACGCCTCCTCAGTCACCCCAAGGACAGGGGGGTACACAGCGAGGGGGGCTGAGCGTGCTGGGGTTCCCGTTCGTGCGGAAGGCAGTTCCCACACCCGGGAGCGGGGAGTGCACGCCCGTGGGGGCTCAGAATGTACAGGGAGGGGGCGCGGCAGGAACAGAATCAAGGCTTCCTCAGGAGCCAGGAGGCCGGCTCGGTCTCGCCACCGTCCTGTGCCTCGATTTCCCCATCCTGGCTAACCAGCCCACCCCGTGGGGTTATTTACATGAAGCCAGGTGGGAAGCACACGTGTCTCCTCCCCTTCGAGCGTGCACCACCCCCCTCCAGTGGCCGGGCCCTGCCATCTCTGACACCGGGCACCACAGTGGCCTCATTCTGGGGACCTGCCAGGCCAGGCAGGATGGCGTCCCCACGATTCTCCGTGGCCGGCAGCACCTCTGCTCCCAGCAGCCCCCCGGTGACTCGGGCATACCCCAGGTGCTGGCTGCCTCCACACCTGCCGTCCACACCTCCGAAGGGGCCTTCCCCAAGGGCGGCCGAGGTCTGCGTCCACGGGGCTGGCTTCCTCCAAGGGGCAGAGCCCAAGAAGTGACCAGGCTCCAGCTGGCAGAGGGGAGAGGCCTAACCCGGCTCCGCCCCTGCCCATGTGTGAATGGAGGAGATGTCAGAAGTGACAGCTCTTGGGGAAATGGCTATTTGCATTTATGGAAATTAAGATGTCACCTCCGAGAAGGATCAGGGACACCCTGAACTTGACAGAGTCACTGCCTCAGGGCGTCTGCTGACCCCTCTGATTTGTTCCTGCTGTGCTCCCTCCTCATAAATTCTGCGAAGATGACCTGACCGGTGTGGCTCAGTGGATAGAGCACTGGCCTGCGGACTCAAGGGTCCCAGGTTCCATTCCGGTCAAGGGAATGTACCCTGGTTGCAGGCACATGCCCAGTAGGAGGTGTGCAGGAGGCAGCTGATTGATGTCTCTCGCTCATCGATGTTTCTAGCTCTCTATGCCTCCCCCTTCCTCTCTGTAAAAAATCAATAAAATATATTTTAAAAAATTCTATGAAGAGACTGCTGGGAAGGGGGACAGAGAGAGGGGTGGGGTCCCGGGCCCTGGACCCCCTCAGGGATGGTCCTCCCTGAATGTACCTGAAGGTGACCCTGTCCTCACCCAGTGCTCAGGGACCCCAGGCAGCGGGTCTGGCTCCTGGAAATGTGGTGGCGTGAAGGTCGCTGCGAATTCAGGGAAGGAGCCGCGCTGCCTCCGTCAGAGTCCCACAGACAAGCCGGTCCCTGGGCTCTGACAGCGGGAGGCCTCCCTGCAGCCTCGAGGGGCCCCCTCCCCCTCCCGGAAACTGCCAATCAGGGCCCGTGCCTCTCACTTCCTCCGTGGTCACTTGAGGTTGAGAAGATCCTTGAGAGGAGAGACAGCCCAGGGCCTGAAGCCTCTCGGGCTGCTCTGCCCACAGCTCACTGCCCTCTGACCCTCGCCAGGCAGGACACAGTGTCCCATGGTGCCCCCTCGGGTGTCCGATCCCGTGTGCGCCGGCTTCTTCCCACCCAGGCTCCCGTCCTCACTCAGGAGGGCTCTGAGCGTGAGAGCAGGTTCCACACTTTTCACGTCCCACCCGCTGCAGGCCTGGCTCAGCCCCCAGGCGCTGGGCAGTGCCCACAGGCCGTGGACTGGCAGAGCAGAGAGAGACACAGGCCTGGACCGCGGTCAGGGTCCTGCAGGGAGCCGCCAGCAGGCCAGGCTGAGGCAGGACTGTGCTCTAGCCCAGACACCCTCCGGGCCACAGAGGCGGGTGTGGACCCGGAGAGCAGCCGTGGTCTCTATGGACATGACCTGGGGAGCCGATGCCCCCCGGGCCCCCCACTTCGAGGGCACAGGGGCAGGAGCCCAGAACTGCCACCAGACTGGGCTCTGCAGGTGGATGCGTTTGCCAAGGGACAATCCGGAGGGCAGAGGGGACTCCCCACAGGCAGGACCCCAAACCCTGCAACACGGGCCTCCACTCGACTTCCCTAGCAGAACGGGCGCGTGCTTTTGGCATTGCAGGGGGCTGGCGTTTCCTGAGGGGGAGGAGACGTTGCAGAGAAAGACATCCTGACATGACAGATAGCGGGACAGCTGTGGCCAGAACTTGGTGTTCCAGATCCCGGGATGTGATGTATTAGTTCCCATAAATGCTAATAGCCCATTCCCCCCAAGAGCTATTACTTATGTCATCTCCCCCCGGATGTGGTTCAACACGGGGCGCGGGAGAGCCAGCCCCGGGGGAGCTCCCCGCTCTGCACCCAGGCAGGCGGGCCTGCTCCCTAAGGTGGCACCACCACTTTCCCCAGGATCCAGACCCCCTGCCCTCGGCCCCACAGCCTGGTCCCCATCGTGGCAGGAAGCAAAGTTACCCACTCCGAAACTGCTGAATCACAAAATGAGGCTGAGCAGCAGGAACGTGGGGGTGGGGAGGGAGATGGTGGCCAGGGAGGCAGGCAGGAGAGGGTGCTAAGGGACTTCATCTAGGAACCCCCTCCTCCAAGATGCTTCAGGCAGAGTGTAGCCCCCACAGGAGCCGGGAGCACCAAAGTCCGGAGCGTGCTGGGTGCGCTGGGCGGGGGCGGGGAGGAGAGGCGGCAGGTGCACAGCGGCCGCTACCGCAGTCCAGCACGCAGCGCGGTGCAGAGTCCGGTCCGCGCGTCCTTCCGTCCTCCCCAAGCAGCGGCAGGTAGGGAGGTGGGAAGGACAGGGATCTGAAGACGCCCCAGGGGCACAGCGCGGGGGTGAGGGGTGCAGGAGCAAAGTGCCAAGGTCCCGGGGAGTGGGGCCAGGAGGAGAGGGCGCCCACGGGAGAGCCGGGGAGCAGACTGGGTGGGAGGACGGGGATGTGGGACCCGGAGGGAGCGGCAGGGTGAGCCTTCAGAAGCAAAGAGGTTGAAGGGATGGGGAGGACTGGCGCCCGGAGCGCTCCCGGGGCTGCGCAGCGGCCTGGGGACGGACGGGACAGGACGGGAAGGGGGGCTGGGGGGCTGGGGGCCTGGGTGGGGGTGAGGCTGTAAAAAGTGGAGGAGATAAGACAGGGCGGAGGGGCGCCGGGACCGGGGGAAGGGTGAAGTTTGGGGCAGGGGTCGGGGACGGGAGCTGAAGGGCTGGGGGGATGGCAGGTCGGGCGGGCCGGAGAGGACCGGATGGGGGAAGGGAGATGATGGGGCAGAGGGAAGATGGAGAAGGAGAGCCAGCCCGCTGGAGGGGAGGTGCGGGTGGAGGCGGGCGCGGGGACGCGCGAGGGGAGAGGAGATGGAGAATCGCCGCAGGCCTCGCGGGGGCCGCCGCCGCCGCCGCTCTCTCGGTGCCCCGCCGCGGGCAGCGCGCCCCGCCGGGGTCACCCCCTGCACTCACCTGGGCTCCAGCTCCGGATCCTCTCCCCGCTCCGGATCTTCCCTCCCGCCCGGCCCGGCGACTACAGCGCCCCCGAATCCCGCTCTCCCGGCCAGGTTCCGCCCGCAGCATCTTCACCTCGTGGGACGGCCGGGGCCACGCCTCCGGGGGCTTCTCATTGGCTGGAATTCACGCCAGTCACGCTCCCATTGGCTGAGGCACAGCCCAGCATGCAAATCAGGACGGACCCGCCACCGCGCCGATTGGCTGGAGCTGGCGGAGCCGAACCGCTCGGCTTGGGCTCTGATTGGCCGACGGCGGTGACACGGGGCGGGTCCTCGGCCAGAGCGCGAGGCTCCTCCCGCGGCGGCAGGGGCTCGGGCGTCCTTCGGCCGGTCCTGCGCCCACGAGGCCTGCGGCTCCGCTCGGCTCCGGCCGGCGGCGGCCCGCGGGGTCCACAGCGGATCTTTCTCGAGAGCGTGGGCCTCGTCACTCCCGGGTGGGCGTGGGCGCGGGCGCGGCGGGCCGGTCTCCTAGGTAACGCGGCGGCGACGGTCGGAACCATGTTGGCTCGCGCTGCGGGGGAGGCCGGACACGGCCTGGACCCGCTGGGCCGCTGAGCGGGCCGGGGGAGCAGGGCTCGGGCTTGGGGGCGCCCTGTGTGTCTCTCCGCCGGGGCCCGGGGCCTGCGGGGCGCGGCGGCCGGGCGGGGGCGCAGGGCTGTGCCCGCGGCAGTTGCATGCCACCCCTCCCCCGGGACACTTGGTTCGGCCGGGCTGCGAGTTGCTTGTGTATCCTAGGCTTCTTGAGGCTCACCCTCTGCCCTCTGCCCCTTGACCCTGAGTCCCTCTGCAGTCCCCAGTTTTAGGGGAGCGCGGTTCGAACAGCCTGGCCTTTTGCTGAGATTTTGTTGGACGTTGGTTTTCCCCGATTCGTTGTCCGCAGCGGCCTTCCGGTACCGGAGGCCCTTGGGGGGGGCTACTGCTGGGTGCATTTCCCCTGGGCTGGGTGCCCGTCTCCTGTGGGTGCCCATTCCCAGCGGGTGTCCGTCCCCTGTGGGAACCACCCGCCATGGAGACCTCCAGGCTCCCTAGTCCTCGCAGAAGGCCACCGCGCTGCCTGTGTCCAGTGCCCCTGGCATGGTGCCTGCCTTCACCCTCTGCTGTCCAGCCAGCTGACCTCCCGGCTGGCTCCGAGCTCACCCCCTGGCCTCTTTCCGCGGCTGCATGCGGGCTCTGCTGCCTGCTCCTCCAGACTGCAGGGCCCTCCCTCCCTTTAGTGCTGTCTCCCTAGAGGCTGAGTTCCCAGGCCCGCTCCCTTCTGTCCTGCAGTGTCTGGTTCTGGTGGAAGCGGGTGAGAAAGTCCAGCCTCAGCCTGGGAGTTAGGGAAGGAGGTGGCTGCAGCTCCAGGTGTGTGTCACAGCTCACGGCACCGCCCCCCCCCCCCCCCCCCTTCCTGGCATCTCCCTAGGTCCCAGCGGTGTCTCTGCTCCCTCTAATGTGTGTCCTGTCTTCCTCCCTCCGGATGCCTGTGCCATGAGGGTGGGGAGCCTGCCTGCTGTGGTCAGCGAGGTTTCTCCAGGGCGTGGCACGTGGTAGGTACTCAGAGGATATATTCTGAATGAGGGCATTCCAGGCGGCGCTTAATTAGATCTCCACTTACCCCCTCTCCCCACCACAAAGTCCTTCAAAGCTTCTGGGTCTCAGTGATTCAAGATCTCGTTCTTTTCTGGGAAGTCAGTGTCCCTGGGCCTGGGCAGCTCCTCAGGGCTCCTGCCCTCCTGGCCCCTGGACTTTAGTCCAGCCGACCCCTTCAGCTCCTGGGTCCCTCCGTTCACCCCCAGAAAGGAGGCTGGATTAGCTGTCATCTGCTGCTCCCTCAACCCTTATCATTCTCTCTGGATCTTTATTCTTTACCAGAGGCCCCGTGCACGAATGTGTGTGTGTGTGGGGGGAGGGGGCGGGGGTGTCCCTCAGCCCAGCCTGCACCCTCTCCAATCTAGGACATCCCTCTCAGAATCCAGGACTGCTGGCTCTCAACTGCTCATCTACCTGCCTTCCTGATTGTCCCTAACCGCTTCTGCCTGCCAGAATGATTGATGTCTAACTGCTCCCCTGCCAGGCTGTTTGCCCCCAACTGCCCTCCCTTGCAGGCCTGGTCCCTCCCAACTGCCCTCCCCTGCTGGTTATCTTGTGGTGGCTATCTTGTGTCCACACGGGGGCAGGATCTTGTGTGTTGGAGTGATGGTCAATCTGCATATTACTCTTTTATTAGATAGGATAGAGGCCTGGTGAATGGGTGAGGGCCAGCTGGTTTGCCTTGAAGGGTGTCCTGGATCAGGGTGGGTTCCCTTGGGGTGTGGGGTGGCCTGTGGTGGTTTGCAGGCTGGCCATGTCCCCCTGGCGACCCAAGCAGAGGCCCTGGTAACCGTAGTTTATTTTTTATCTTCTACAATTGAAACTTTGTAGCTTGGAGCAGAGCCAAGCCTCTGCTCGCTCGGTGGCGGCAGGGGATTTATTTACCTCTTATAATTGAAACTTTGTGGCCTTAGGCGGAGGCCTGGGCCAGCCAGGGTGTACGGAAAGCTTGGTTTCTTCCATTGCCTGGGAAACCCAAGCCTCCCTCCTGCTTTCTCCTTGGCCGCAGCCATCTTGGTTGGGTTAATTTGCATACTCACTCTGGTGGGTGTGCCTTGGGGGTGTACCAGAATGATGATTAATTTGCATATCACTCTTTTATTAGATAGGATTTAAAAAATACATTTTTATTGATTTCAGAGAGGAAGGGAGAGGGAGAGAGAGAAACATCCATGATGAGAGACAACCATGGATCGGCTGCCCCCTGCATGCCCCCTACTGGATTGAGCCCACAACCAGGTCTCACCCAGCAGGCCCGGCGGAAGCTCTGAGATCTGCATCTTGAGGCCCTGAGCGGGCCATGCTCCCCAGTCCCGTCAGAGACCCCCGTCCCCGGAGTCCGGCTCTGACTGGCTCCCGAGGGGGCGGCAGAGCAGTTCTCTGGAGCGGGATGGCATGCCTGCCAGGGGAAGGCGGCGCGGTGCCAGTCTCCCGCCCTCGCCTGGGGTGTGGAGGGTGGGGCTGCAGAGGCGGGCAGGGGTGCTGGGTCTTCGGATACAGCGGGCGGGAGGCAGGAAACGGCCAGATCTCCGAGCTCCGTGGTCCTCACCGCTCCTGTTTCTTTGGACACGAATGGTGCAGGTGACCCCAGGAGTGCAGTGCCCCGCAGCCGGCAGGATGCGTGACTGGCACCAGGTTTTTGAGCAGAACGTGCTGGTGCCTCCGCACCCACACCGAGCCCGCCAGCCCGCAAAGGAATCGACGGCGTTTCAGTGCGTCCTCAAGTGGCTCGACGGGCCACTGATTAAGCAGGTAAAGAAATTTGCTTTTATTGTCAGACACTCTGGGAGGCTATTGATTTCCACTCATTTATTCGCGTCTCACCGCGGTGCCCATTACGCGGGCCTTGGCTATATGGGCAGACAAAGTGCCCATCAGCACAGAGAATCCGCGATTCAGCGGCTCGGTCAGCACTTCTGACTCCGGGGAAAGGGCTGCTGCTGCCACAGCGGAGCCGATTCTAACCCGCAATCAGGTTCCCCAGGTTCTTCCTTTTAAAAAATCCATTTTTATTGATTTCAGAGAGGAAGAGGGAGATAGAAACATTAATGATGAGAGAGAATCACGGATCGGCTGCCTCCCGCCTGCCCCCCACTGGGGATGGAGCCTGAAACCCAGGCCTGTGCCCTGACCAGGAATCGAACCCTGCCCTCCTGGTTCCTACGCTAACGCTCGTCCACGGAGCCCCGGCCGGGCAAGGCCCGCCTTTGTCGCCTCTGGCTGCCTTGTCTGTGTGTGTGGCGCTGACATCTCAGTCCTCAGAGGTTAGCTTCTCCTCTGCCGATGCCTGGCCAGCGGAGGACTGAGTGTGTGGTTATACCAGGAGGGCTCACTGGGCGGTACCGGATAAAAACCCGCCCACGTAGCCTAAGCCCGTGGTAGGCAAACCACGGCTCGGGAGCCATATGCAGTTTTTGGCCCCTTGAGTGTGGCTCTTCCACAAAATACCGCGGCCTGGGCGAGTCTGTGTTGAAGAAGTGGTGTTAGAAGAAGTTTAAGTGTAAAAAATGTGGCTCTCCGAAGAAATGTCAATCGTTGTGCTACTGGTGTTTGGCCCTGTGGACTGATGAGTTTGCTGACCGCTGGCCTAGAGGCGGCTTCCTGCTCCCCCCACAGAGGCCTTGTCACTCTGAGCTTCCGGTGTGGCCGGCCGGGTCTCGTCACGTCTCGGGCTTCTCTCTGTCCCGCCTGTGCCTCCTCCGCTCTGGGGGTCTCCGGGCGGCGCTGTGCCGGGCTGCGTGCTCTGCGGGGCAGTTCCTGGCAGGAAATCGGTGCCCAAACCCGGATGGAGGCTGCCCATTGGGTTACCTATTTGGGCGCCAGCACCGGTGGGAGGCTCGGCCGTGGGAACCTCAGGGCCCCCTGCCTGTCGCGCAGGGCGCGCTGGAGGTGCTGTCGGAGCTGGGGTGCCATCTCCGCGTGTCTCTCTTCGACGTCACCTACCGCCACTTCTTCGGGAGGACGTGGCGGAGCGCCGTGCGGCCCCTGGAGCCGCTCCCCCGGCAGCCGCCCCGGATCGTCTTGAACGAGGTGGGCAGACGGCGGGCAGAGGTGTTGGGGCCGGGGGGGGGGCGGTGGGCGGGCAGGGTACACCAACCTGGGACCCTGGGAGGGCCTGGGAGCTGCAGCCCAGCTCACAGCGTGGTCTGCGGGCGGCACCCTCTCCGAACAAAGTCTGCGTGGAGGCCAAGCCCCTCCATGATGAGAGCGCTGCGCTGGCCGGAGCCGGGGGTGGGCGGGCAGTGCGAGGGGTCTCGTCCCCCAGTACGCGGGCATTATGTTCCCGCAAAGAGTGACCTGGCAGGTCACGAGGCCGTGTGCGTGTGTGTGTGTGTGTGTGTGTGCGTGTGTGCACAGGTGTGTGCGTGTGTGTGCGTGTGTGTGCACGTGTGTGCGAGCAGGTGGACCTGGTGAGCGGGCTGTGCGGCCTGTGCTGACTGCCCTGTGGCCTCTAACCCATGTGTCCCCGTGGAGGAGGTCACCTAGGGCCACAGGGTGGGGCCCTGCTCGGGGGCGAGCACAGGGATGAGTCCTCCCGCTGTTTTCTCCTCGGCGGGCTGGGACTGTCCCCGTCGGTGGCGCTCAGGGCTGCCGGGCTGCCCACCCTG